TCTATTACTATAATTTTAGTAACTTTGATCTCATTCTTTTTAGTATTTATTTCTTTTGATGGAAAAAGAAATATTTTTAAGATAAGGAAGAAGGCATGATAAAGAGACAACAAATAAGTTTTTAGTTGAAGTAAAAGAAACAAAAACAAAAAGTAAAAATGGAAAGCACCAAAGAGGTAACAAACCACGTGATTCTAGCATCCCAAGTCCTATGAAGGATAGTGATGGAGATGTCAAAGTATTTCTCATGAGCCTTGGCCTAAAGGGAAGCCAGAAAGGTCATCTTCTCCCAAATGAAGTTGTCCTGCAAAAATTAGTTGTCAAATATCGTCTGATTTCTTTCAATCCAGATAGTCCAAAGACTAGCAAAATCCTCTCTGCCGCAGTGGTTTGGCCTTTACCTAAACTTCGAAACCACCAATGTTAGTGTTGATGAAACAATCCAAAGAAGGAGTCACCCATACTAGGTTAAAACTTTTAAAGAGCCTGACTTATAACTTCCATGCTGTTTCTACCTCAAAAAAAAAAAAAAACTTCCATGCCATTTCACAATGCAGAAAGAGATGAGATTTGTATTCCCCTCCCTTATGACATATAAAACACATGTTAGGTGATGAAGTTCTGTCAGACCTACAAATTTGCAGCAAGTCATTGGTGTTAAGCTGATTCAGAATTGCATTCCACATGAAAACCTTCACCTTTGAGAGAACCTTGACTTGTCAGAATGCCCTAGTAAATGTATTTTGATAGCAATCAGGGTTCTTCATTATATGATTGAAGAACGATTTATTGGTATGTGTATCTTATAAGTGTAGGGTCCATACTCTGTGATCAGCCTGCTGGGAAGGTTGAAATGATTGTGACAAGTTTAACATGGAAATGAGTTCAACAGTTTCTCCATCATTTAATCTAGTGAAAGTTCCAAGTCAGAGAAATGTTGGAAAGACAAAAGAACTGGTCAATCAAGGTATTGTGGTTGGAAACTATGTGAAAAAGATGTGGAAAATATGTGAAAAAAATGTGGAACTTGGATACCCAAGAGTTGGTCGCCTCTCCAAAGATCCTCTCAAAAGAGGACCTTGGAACCATCCCCCACATTATACCTGGTAAGAGGCTTATAAATGTTAAGCAAATTTGGATTGGCCTTAGATGGACTTTTGTGATGGGTGGATTTTTTGGAGACAACATCCCAACCATTTCACTGATTTCAGGGAGATCTTTTTATTACTTTATGCCAACTACGAATCCAGTTCCTGCTATAAACGCCATGGCCATTTTACCAAAAGTTCCTAGATCTGAGATTCCATATGCCCAAAGTATTTAGTTTTTTAGTTGTCTTAGTTTTATTATTTCCTAATCCTATTAGTATTTCTTAGTTTAATTTTATTCAAGAAATGTTACTTAGGAAACATTATAAATATGTTTGCAATTTCATTTTCTGAGGTAGACTTTAATTATTCAATAAAAAACTTTAGGAGTTTCTCAAGTTTCTGGTTATGTACAATCAAACCCTTAATTATGATACTTAAATTTTTTATAGATGTAATATTTAAGAAACCGTAAGTGTAATGTTTAGGTTTTAACTCCTAATTTCTTAAGTAGGTATCTGCCCTAATTTGTGCTATGTTATTATATCTCTATTTGAACAGGAAGAAATCACAGAAACAGCCTACAGGGAAGTAATGGAAAAAAAGCTAGTATTGACTGATCATACCAGAAAAAATTTGTGAACAGTAGTTAAGAAACCGCAAGAGGATATTGTTTGGCTCTTTTGAGGCAAACTCTGTCTCGAAGATGCATTAAAATTGCTAATAGTCATTGCAGCAATAGGGCTGGAAATGATTCTTGGCAGTTCATACCAATTTGTGCTAGAAAGAGGCCGTAGTTGGTCAGAGTTTTATTTTAGGGAAAAAAAGGAAATGGCTAAAAATCTTGGAAAAGTGAAAAAGGTTTATATGATTTCACATTCTCTGCCTTTATTGCATTGTTTTGTAGTTCTACATTTTGTAATATTAGTTCATTGCTAATCTCATAGTTCCCATAGTCCACTTGTATGTTCTGTGTTTCCCCACATGCAGTGGAATTGCATCTCTCTAATCAAAGAGGACTTCTTCTGTGTCTTGGTTGTCTTGTTAACACTGATCTTGGCCTTTTACTGACACCATTTTCCTTATCTAAGGGCCATGGAGACTGTTATCAATCAGCATGGTCTTGATATGGACTCTTTGAAGTCATCACGACTTCCATTGGCTGCCGGAACTCAAACAGGAGATTCTACAGGTGCACAATATGCGGGTATGATCAAAGTACTTTTGGTCCTGTGGAGTAAATTGGTCTATGGAAGCCTCTGTCTTGTTTACTGACTGGAGGGGACTGAAAAATCACATCTCTTCGGTGAATTAAGAAAATAGTTAAATCGTTGTGGAAGTGCTTTTGTCATCTTATCACTAAGTGGGAACATTTATGCAGGATCTTCGCAGGTTGCTGGAGTTGCAAATGATTCCAAAATAAGCTTGGCTGAAAATGAGATGTCCCCATTTGCTTCTGGCAGGCCCCCTGCTGGCCCAAGTAGTACTGCCCATCATTATTATCAAGGATCTGGATCTCACAGAACTAGTCAGTCTTTTGATCATGAAAGTCCATCTAGCTTAGACACCCGGTCTGCCAACTCACAATCGCAAGAAAGAGGTGAAGGAATGAATCAAAAGGATGGTAAAAAAGCAATTACAAAGAGAAAGAGGGGTGATTCATCACAGGCTCATGAACCTAACATTGATCACTCTCAGCAAGTTGATGGTCACAACCCTGTAGTTAACCAGAGGAAAGGGAAAGTTAACAAGGTTGAGTCCTCGGGGGGTTTTTCAACAAAAGGTGATGATCCTAATAGTTTCAGTATGGGGCCAAATAATGGTCAAATAGAACATTTCCCATCTTTATCAGGGAATATGAGGGCAGCAGCCATTAGCCATTCGATCCCAAGGGTGCCAAATGCAAAATATCCTGAAGAGGTAGAAGTTTCCTCTGCTAATAATGCTTCAGGACAGCAGCATGGTGGCTCAATACCATCTACATATGAAATACTTTCTTCCAGGAATGTATGGAATCACAATAAAGCAGGGCTACCTTTAGAAAGATCTCAAGTCCCCAGATTTTCTTCTAATGCAGTATCAGGTAACATGACAGCAGATATTCCAATACAGCAGTCGGCTAGTTCCTCTGTCGGGGCAGGTAATGATAAAAACTATAGTAAAATTATAGTTTAAAACCATTCTTTAATTATTTTTTGGGATGCAGATCTTTATTTATTTATTGAATTTTTAACACTGGGCAGAGAATATCCAGATGTTATAAGTTTTCTTCTCATATATTTTCTCTTTCCCACTTAATCCGCCTAGTTTTTCTTTGAGTACTCAAAATTTCTTTATTCTGGAGGGATATTTTCTGTGTTTACAAGTAGCAACGCGGGATGCATATCTCAATATTGGAATTTGTGGTTGCAGTGAAGAATGACACAACATTGTGCACTGTTGTAGTTGCAGGTGCTTTTGGGAAGTTCCACGGGGGAATGCCTCTAACTTCTAGTTCATATCCTGAGAAAAGTGCAGAAGCACACATGTTTTCAGAAAACCGAGGGGATGAGATTTCTACAGCAATTTCTGCTGGAAAGGTATTGCAGAATTCAATTATGTTGGTGGATACAATTTTTGTTGTCCTTAACTATCACATCTTCCTATGATTTGACTAAAGAATTGTACAGTAGACTGGTAGTTTCATCTTTTCATATTATTCTCTGTTGCTTCTAT